GGAGTAGAAATACTCCTAGTCGCTTCATGCTACGGAAACCGGGATAAGTTCCGGCCTGGTGGGCCACTGGCTCGTATGCAGACTTTACCCTGGTCCCCTGTGAAGAATGAAAAGAAAAGATATCGGGCTTCAATTAAGTGCATTTGACATCATGTTAGTAGAGTTTTCCCCGCCTGCGGAATCCTGATTGCTTAATTTAAATTTCAGGCGCGCCGGCCATATCCAGGGAGGTGGCTAGCTCAAAACAGCTTTTTGTTTCTTTGACGGACTTTTAGAACTAAGTGCAATTTTTCAGGCTTGGAGCTATACTGTTTCGGAATGGCTGTGCTATTTTTTTTATTTTTTTAAGGTAATTATATAATTAACTCTCCACTGTACCTTTCATTGTGTTTAAGTCATAAATTAAGGTTCCACTGATCTGTTGCATACCAACAAAGTTGACCCACTTTTTTACCATCAGTTGCATTTAAAAACTAAGCCGGTGACTCCATATTTTTTTTTTATAGAAATATCTTTATTACTCACAGAAGAAGAAGCAGGAAAAATTATAAAAAATTCTGTGGAGTAGAGTTTGCTTAAATAAAAGAAAATGGAAATGTCCAAGTTGGAAAAATTCCACTCCACAGTTTTTCTTTACAATTTCGCACATGCATCCCGCTAATGCTGTTGAAGAATTTCTTACATTAAAAAAGTAGGGTCACCGGGTCGGAAGATGTTAGCTTCGTGAACAAGGAATTTTTCGCGTGCATTCTACGCGCAGATTAAAATCTAGACTTTGCAAGATCGCATATCAGCTGCTCAGTAAAGCCCGCAATTCCACGCAAATAAATGCGAATATTCGAGAATAGTTTTTTCTTGTTTTTTCTTTTATTATTTTCCCAGTTGTCTTTAGCAGCATAAGCAGTAGAAGAAGAGTACCATAAATACCGAAGGTGGGACTGGCCCAGTAAAAAAATCGAAGAAAACCTGAAGAGAAGTTTTTTTGTTTTTTTTTCCCTGCTCTTTTGTAGGTTGATAGCCGGCGCGATCGATCACAACATCAACATCACAATTTTTGTTTACTTTCCATCACAGTGGTTTAAAAGAACGTCTTTTCCTTGGAAATTGACTGAAGGATGGACGTTCCGAAGGTAAAAATAAGCGATATCGCAAACAGCTCACTAAACTTGGCGGAAACAGTCGCTCGTGATCTACGCTACCAAAGGCTTTACCAAGATCTATAAGGATGGCATCGGTAGGAATAGACAGATTTCTTGATTTCGCCAAATCATTAAATGTTGATAATAACTGAGTTGAGTGGATCTTCCTGGTAGAAAAAAAGAATTTTGAATGATACGAAACTTCATTTTGAAGTGTTTTGAAGCAGTTGTTTTAATCTGTAGTAATCTGAGCGATCTAACTTGATTTTCAAACACCTATCGTCCTGTAGCAGGTTTAAACCATAAGGATTAGACCATAGAGGCTGTTCAAGAGAATTATATGAGAAAATCTGTTCAGGATCGGTAGAGAAACGATTTAAAAAAAAAAGCAGCAACAACATTCAGCTCGACAGAGAGCATTTAAAAATTAAAACACTTTTTTGGTGATCTCACAAACGATTGAAGTAAAGAAAATTGGGCTGTGGCCGAGTTTACTTAAAAGTTTAGGACTCTTCTGGTGTGGAGGTGTAGTAACTGCGTGTTTTCATTCATTAAGTAGAAGGCCAATATAGGACGACTTGTTTACCATATACGTCACTGAAGATGACAATTTCGGAACACGACGGGTTATACTCACGCCCAGAAGACTTGAGAGTCTTAGATGGTGGCATATGACCTCATTAGTAGTAGAACATTTCTGTATGCAAGTTAATTTCTTGTCAACAATACAAGTAAGCAATGTGTATGACAAATTCACATTATCTTCGGTGGTAAACAACGAAGAGAAATACGAGTTCATACTGTGAGCAATACTAGAGTCGTCCACCAGAACAGATTCATCGATTTTCAATGAGACAAGGCCAATAGTGCCTCTTCGCTTGAACTTGTTGGGGTTGTATTGTTGGGGTTGCATCAGTGTACAATCCGGTTGTTCAATAATTGCATAATCTATTTCGTCGACAAGACTTAACATTTTCAACTAATATTTATTACAAAACTAAGTTGTAACGCTACAACAGTATCAATTGTTATTGAACTGAAATGACAAAATGTCATAACATGCGATTGTATGAAAAGAAATCTTCACTTTGTATGTAAACAGTACGTTCTAGCTTTCTACTTTAGTCACCGCTCATATACAAATTTTATTCGTTTACGGCTTCATATTTCTTGATATTTTACTAACTTCATTACTAAACCTATGTATCTAAATTCTCTTTAGTGTAAATAAAAAAACTGAGATGAATTGAATCGAATCAAAACACCAACGTTCGCTACATTGGAAACCGAAAGGAAAAATCATCGCAAGGAGAAAAACTGTCACTACATGTAACGCTTTTGCTGAGATAAGTTGAGTTTACAAAGACGTAGGCAAGTGTCGATATCTGATGTTACTTCAGTGATTTAGCAGACAGTATTTCATTGCTCACTGTATAGTAAGTTTTGGAGTAAGGCTACAAGGCTAAGATACCTGGAATCCTACACAAAAAACCTTGCAATCATACAAGTACTGTTTCAAACAGACTTAGCGCAAACTTATATAATATTCCCTAAATTGCTTTCGCTTTTATCAAAGTCGAAAAAAAACTTAGGGTTAGGTCATTGATGCACGTTAAAAACTCACAAAGTTTCATTTTACACCGAGTGGTATAAATCGTTAGAGTATGAAAAGAGTATGGTCTTTCAGTTGGAGAACAAGTGCTGTCAAGATAGCATCTGAATTATTAGCCAATTAGCAACCATCGAAAGAATATATAACTACACTAAAATTTGCCACGTTAACACGGTCTGAAATGTACATTTTATGTTGGTAAGCAACTTCGATACAAATACTGCAGGATCGACTAACTAGCCCA